GATGTACTCTACATGTCTAGCTTTTGTGTTTCTTATAACAGTGAAAAATCAGTGACCTAAAGAGTAAGCTTGGTGTGGTGGGTCATGCTTGAAATCCCAGCACCCAGGAAGTGGAGGCAGGAGGATCAGGAATACAGCTATGTGAGACCTTGCTTCATGTCTTTAATGCCAGCACTCAGGAGGCAGAGGCAGGAGAACCTCTGTGAGTTCAAGGCCAGCCTGGTCTCCACAATGAGTTCAGGCCAGCTGGGGCTACAGGGAGACCCTGTCTCAAAAGACAGACAGACAGACAGACAGACAGACACACACACACACACACACACACACACATGAAGTAAAACACCCTTGTTTAGTCTTTTTGAACTCTTTGCATTTTTAGTTTAAATGTTCATTTTAATTTCTTGCTGGGTCATTTACATTTGCTACACAGTTAAATTTATGTAATAAAAGTTGCCTGTAGATGGAAATTTTTTAAAAAAATATTTTATTTATTATTTTTATGTGTATGAGTGTATTGCCTGCATGTATGTAAGTGCACCTGAGGCATTGCACGACAAGGAGGTCAGAAGAGGGTTTCGGATTCCCTTCGAACTGGAGTTAAGGATGGTTCTTAGTCTCCATGTGGGTGCTGGGAATCGAATCCGGGTCCTCTGCAAGAGCAGTCAGTGTTCTTAACCGCTGAGCCATCTCTCTAGCCCCGGAAAAAATTTTCCCTTCATGAAATAACCTTGGAATTTTAATCAATTCCATCTCTACACATGATGGAAATTTATTTCACCATAAGTTTGACTGAATTGAATTTCAGAGCAGAATTAGCTCCTTCTCTGCTGAGAGAAAGAGAGCTGTGAACAAATCTTTTAATGGAGTAGTAGTGGAGAATATGTGTAATATGAAAGTTATTCTCATCTGTTTCCTTGTATTTTAGAGACATTGGAAAGGTATTGGTGGAAGCCTTCTCTACCCAGCCTAGAACACAGGAAGGCATGTTTTTGATTCTGTATGGACAAGCTGAGCAATTGTGGGAATGTGTTTAGCTCCTGTTGTTGGGTAATCTTCTAGAGAGGTGTGCCATTCTCTAGGCTGCTCCTGATTCTTCAGTCTTGAGGTTCTTTGTCCTAGCTCTGTGCGAGGCTCCTAACTCCTCATACTTCATTGTTTTCTTAGGAAGAAAATTAAAGGGCAGAGGGACAAGCAGATTGCCATCAGTTGACTTTTAACCTTGGAGGGCTTCCAAGCAGTTTCTAAGTGTCCAGTTGTCCTTAAGTAAGGATTATGTTCTAATAGTCTGGGCTCAGTAAGCTGACTGAGCTTCTGGTTTGCTTTGAGTGTGAAGCTGTTGGCTCATATAGGCTCCTTTGTTGTTGGTGTATTGGCTGGAGGGGGATACTTTTTGATTTGGAGGATGGCCCCTAAAGCCTCAAAATTTTTTTTTGACATCTTGGACAATTTTTGCTTTATTATTTAAGCCAAATTTAATAAAGTGCACAATTTATATAGCTAGTGGGGAAAGTTAGAAACAATAAAGCCCTCAGATTTTATCTGCTGCACTTCTCTCTGCTCTAGCCACCCTAGACTTTCACTGCTTCTCTAATATACCAGACACATTCCCAGTCAGTAACTTGGTTTTGGAGGGTTTAAAAAAAAAATTTGTGGGGCTGGAGAGATGGCTCAGTGGTTAAGAACACTGGCGGTTCTTGCAGAAGACCCAGGTTCAAATCCCAGCACCCACATGGGAGCTAACAACTGTCAGAAACTCCAGTTCCCGAGGATCTGACAGCCTCTTCTGTCCTCCACAGGCATTGCACGACACGGGTCCACTTACCTACATGCAGGAAATACACACATGCACATAAAATAATTTAAAATTTTTTTTATGTGTATGACCACGCATGTATGTATGTGTACTGTGTACATGCTTGGTGCCTGTTGGGGCTAGAAGAGGGTGATGGATCCCCTGGAACTGGACTTCTGGATGGCTGGTAGCTGCCATGCAGTTGCTGGAAACCAAACCCAGGTCCTCTGTGAGACCAGCCAGTACTCTTAACCACTGAGCCATCTCTCCAGCCTCTCACCTTTTTTTTGAGCAATGTTCCCTCAGGTGACATACTCAGCTCATGAAGAAACTTCTTTGGGGAGCTATTTATCTGCATGGCCCCCTTGCTTGCAGATCTGTCTGAAAAAACATTCCACTTTACCTGTAAGAGTCTGTAGCTTTCATCAGTAACTGAAATACTGAAATTACATATTTGTTCCCTTGTTTGTATCTTCCACTGAAATGTAAGCTCTAACATTGTAGAGTCTCACCTGTTCAAATTCTAGAACAGGGCTTACCAACCTTGGCATTACTGACCCTGGCCTCTGGGAGACCATCCTGCGCAGCACACAGATGTTTAGTGGCATCTGTGTATCTAGCAGATACCAGTGACACCGCCTATTCCAGCACTGATCATCCAAACACTCCTTAGACATTGCCAGATGTCTCGTGGGGGACAAACATCACTGCTGGCTGAGAATTACTTTCATAGAGCAATGCTATAGCATTTAGTGGGTACGTAAGAAGTATTGTGAATGAATTGTACTTTCATAGAGCAATGCTATAGCATTTAGTGGGTACGTAAGAAGTATTGTGAATGAATTGTACTTTCATAGAGCAATGCTATAGCATTTAGTGGGTACGTAAGAAGTATTGTGAATGAATTGTACTTTCATAGAGCAATGCTATAGCATTTAGTGGGTACGTAAGAAGTATTGTGAATGAATTGAGGGGTAGGACTCAGTGGGATGATGGATGCATGAATGAATTCAAGTTAAAAGCATTGTGTGTGTGTGTGTGTTTTGTTTTGTTTTGTTTTTTTAATTTTTAGACAGGGTCTCTCTGTAGCTCCAGTTGGCCTGGAACTTGCTATGTAGTTCAGACTGGCCTCAATCTCACAGAAATCCACCTGCCTCTGCCTCCCAAGCACTAGGATTAAAGGCATGTGCCACCATGCCTGGTGTAAGTTAAAAGTTTTTGAAACCATAAATAAAAATAGTGTGCATAAGGCTTCCTCTCCCTCTCTCAGCTAGGGGTCCCTGTTTGTTCTTCTGTCTTTGGTATTGGATGGCTTTTTACCCTTCATTCAGATTTGCTTATTCTTTTAGTTACTGCTGCTCCATTTTTCTCTGCAGTGCTTCATAGAAGGAATTTGGGAATTCTTCCTCTGTTTCTATCTTTTTTTTTTTTTTTTTTCCTTTTGAGACAGGGTCTTCCTATAGCCCCAGCTGTCCTGGAACTCACTATGTAGACCAGACTGGCCTTGAACTCACAGAGATCCGCCTGCCTCTGCCTCCTGAGTGCTGGGATTAAAGGCGTGTGCCACCACTCCCGGCCAAACTGAGATTTTTAAAAAAATATTTATTATTTTGGGGGCTGGAGAGATGGCTCAGCAGTTAAGAGCACTGACTGCTCTTGCAGAGGACCGGAGTTTGATTCCTAGCGCCCACATGGCGGCTATGAGCCGTCCTTAACTCCAATTCCAGGGGAATCCAAAGCCCCCTTCTGACCTCTGCAGCATTGCATGACACGGGTGCATTCACATACATGCAGGCAATACACTAATATACAAAAATAATAAATAAAATATTTTTAAAAATACTATTTTTATTTTATGTGTATGTGTGTATTACCTGCATGTAGGTAAGTGCACCCATGTTGTACAATGCCCGAGGAGGACAGAAGAGGCTGTCAGATCCCCTGGAACTGGAGTTATGAACAGTTATTAGCTGCCATGTGGGTGCGGGGATTTGAACTCAGGTCTTCTGCAAGAACAGCCAGTGTTCTTAGCTGCTGAGCCATCTCTCCAGCCCTGAGATTGGTTTTTATAGTCTTAAAATGTTGTAAAAAAAATCAAGAGAATGAAGCCAGGTGTAGTGGTGCACACCTTTAATCCCAGCACTCAGGAGGCAGAGGTGGGCAGATCTCTGAAAGACCGAAAAAAGGAAAAGAAATCAAGAGAATGACAAGACAGACCCCAGTCTGGAAGAAAATGTTTGTCAGAGGCATATCTGATAAAGGACTGTTACCCAAAATACAAAAAGCTCTTAAACCCAACAAAAGCAAAATAAAATGTCTTAATGAAAATACATGATCAGTAGGATTAAGGTTATATATAGGTAGAACACAAGCTAAGCATACATTCAAGCCCCAGCACCACCCCCAAAAGTCAAAAGATATAAATAGATACCTCACTGGAAAGATATACAAGTGGCAAGTAAGCTTATGAAAACATGTTCAACATGTCATCAGGGGATTGAAAATTAAAGTGAGATAATATTACATGCTTACTAGAGTGGCCCAAATTCAAAACACCAACAACACCAAATGCCAGCAAGGATTGGAGCAACAGGAATTCTTCATTAGTAGTACAAATACAAAAATGGTCCAGCTGCTTGGCCTGGTGGTGCATGCCTTTAATACCAGATTTCTCTGAGATCGAGGTCGCCCTGGTCTACGTAGTGAGCTCCACACCAGCTGAGGCTTCAGGGAGACCCTGACTTAGCAAACAGACAAACTGAAAACACCCAACAGTAACAACAACAAAAATGGTACAGCCACTTTGGAAGGAGTTTGGTAGTATCAGACAGAATCAAACATACTCTTGGCATATGATCCAACAGTCACATTGTAAGGTGATGTGCATACGTGAAGATAGAGGTATATGGAAAATCTCTGTACTTTTTGCTCAGTTTTGCTGTGTGCTTAAAACTCAATTTTATTTTCTAAAAATTGGGCTGGGGTATAGCTCAGTGGTAGAACCCATCTAGCATGCATGAGGCCCTAGGTTTGATTCCTAGTATCACAAAAACAGTAATTTATGAAAAGAGAAGTTGGCCTTTTACAGAGAATATGAACTGTCTAGGAGATGAAGTACTTGGTCTCTATAGCCCATTCAGGCTAAGACCCCTAGACACACTGTCTCCAGTCATAAAGCTGTCCTTTTGAATTTCTGTCTTGTTTACAGGTATATGAATGACCTAAAGCTTCAAATAAAGACGGAGACAGAGCAGTGCCAGCTGGGAGCAGGCAAGGATGCCAATTCCTCCTCCCCCTCCACCCCCACCTGGTCCTCCTCCACCTCCTGCTTTTAATCAGGTAGGTAATCTTCCACTAGGCTATCTCAGAATCTTTAAGTACATTGCTAGCCCACTTTGCTGTTTTGTTCTTTTTTTTAACCCTTTTGCTTAAAACTTGTGGGTTTTCCTATCCATACCACTCCTACTCTTTCCTATTTTATCTTTTTCTTATTTTTATTCTTCCTTTTATGTGTATGAGTGTTTCGCCTGTATGCATGTGTGCACCATGCATGTGCACAAAATAAATTGGAGAGTGACTGAGGAAGACACATGATGCCAACCTCTACATGAAAGGGTGTCGTCGTCATCGTCCCCCCCCACCCTGCACCAAACAGAGTTTTGAGCTTATATGTAGTATGAGAACCCTGGCTGCCCTTTGCTCCCCACAATTAGGTAGAGGCTAAGGACAGAACTCTGGGAAAGGATATGAGAAAGATAAAGAACCTAAAGAGAAGCATGGAGTTGAAAGAGGCAGTCAGATGAACAGAAAAAGCAGGGGACTATGAGGCAATCAGACTAGCATTTAAGAATTGGCTTAGTGTAGGTGGTTGAGTGGATACAGGCTCTTGTCATATAAGCCTCGTGATCTGAGTTCAATCTCTGGAACTCAGGGTAAAAGGAGAGAGAGCCAACTCCCAAAATTTGTCTTCTGACTTCCACACTTGTGCCATGGCTAGCAAGACACACACACACACACACACACACACACACACACACACACACACACTAAAACTTAAATGTAAAAAAAGAAAAAAAATTGTCATAGTATTTACTAATCATGTGCCCTTTAACATTCTTGAACTTTTATTCCCTCATCTTTGGGATGGGATTAAGGTTTACTTTAGAATATTATGTAGAAGATAAAATCATAGGGAGGTCATGTTGGGTAAGATACTTGAGTCAGAGTTGAGGCATGAATCCTTCCTTTATTATTTACCAGTTGCATGACCTTAGGAAGCTATTCAGCTTCTGGTCCACACTTTCCAAATTTGGATAATGATAATGATACCTATCTATTGGAATATTGAAATATTTCAAGTTTTAAATGAGGTAATGTAAGTGGTTTACTTAGGACAATGCCTAAGCCATAGTGGGGGCTCTGTAAAAGCTTGCCTTGGGGGCTGGAGAGATGGCTCAGCAGTTAAGAGCACTGGCTGCCCTTGCAGGGACCCCAGTTTGGTTCCCAGCACCCACATAGCAGCTAACGGCCATCAGAAACTCAGTTCCAGGACATCTGACATCCTCTTCTGACCTTCACAGGCATTGTGCACATGGTTGTACTTACATACTAGTAGTCGAAACACTCACACACATATAATAAATAATGGCTGGAGAGTTGGCTCAGCTGTTAAGAGCACTGACTGTTCTTGCAGAAGACCCAGGTTCAGGTCCCAGTACCCACATGGTGGCTAACAACCATCCTTAACTCCAGTTCCAGGGTATCTGATGCCCTCTTCTGACGCCTGTGGGGATTGCATGACACAGGTGTACTTACATATATGCAGGCAAAACACTCATCCACATAAAATAAAAATAATAGTTAAAAAATAAAAATTAAAAATAAATAAGTAAGTAAGTAAAAGCTTGCCTTGGGGGTGATATGTTAATGTGCCCAAGACACAAAGCCTGGCACATAGACATTCACAGTCCATGTCAACCTCTTGCAGAAGATTGTGAATAGGAAGAAGGTCCATATCCTTCACAGAAGGAAGAGGAGAAAAGATTGAGAAGAGTATGGTGCACATTGATACTGCTTCTTGGCTCATATATCTTAGTATGTTACACAGGCATCTTGTGGAGTCCAGTTTGGCTTAAGACATTTTTCCTAAGCTTGTGGTAAGGGGAATTATTTAGGGTAAACCTACATACTTCCTTCTTTCTCCAGGCAAACACAGAACAGCCCAAACTAAGTAGAGATGAGCAACGGAATCGAGGTGCCCTCTTACAAGACATTTGCAAAGGGACCAAACTGAAGAAGGTGACCAACATTAATGATCGGAGTGCTCCTGTCATCGAGAGTGAGTCCAAGCTTTTTTCCTAACAAAGCACCAGGATCCCAGGATTAGAAGACTTAGCTGAGCTGTCATATTTATTGTAGTCTTCTTGAATGGGAAAATGGGATATCTTATAGAAATCTCTTCTTAACCCTTGGGGTTAAAATTCCTACTCCCTAACTGGTGCTTGTTGGGGCATATCCTTGGCTTTTCTCAGGAGACCACCACATTACTGGAAGTTTCTTGGCTGAAACCATGGATGACTGTAATTTATACAAGTCCATTCCTATAGGCTTCTGGAGAATTTCTTCACACTTGATCCCCCTAGAGCCACTAGCCTTATGGAGAGGAGAGCCTGGAGAAGTCTGTTGAATGTCCTTTATTCCAATTGTTCTCCTTCATCTGGATAAAGCTTGTTCTTCCTTCCTTTTGTCTTTTAAAAAAAAAAAAAAAAAAACATTGACATGAAGCTGTGCAGCTTGAGGCCTAGTTTGTTTCTTTGCTTTTCTCTCTCTCTCTCTCTCTCTCTCTCTCTCTCTCTCTCTCTCTCTCTAGCACAAAGGCAAAAGCGGGATTGGTATTTTGCAAATTAAAGCCTACATAGAGGACTAGTTTCTTCTCAGGATTGTTGTGGTTACCAGCCCAGAGCATATGAAATGACAATCCTTATGGTATGCTTTCCAGAGCCCAAAGGAAGCAGTGGTGGTTATGGCTCTGCAGCTGCTGCTTTGCAACCCAAGGGAGGTCTCTTTCAGGGAGGAGTGCCGAAGCTCCGCCCTGTGGGAGCCAAGGATGCTTCAGGTAATAAGAAGTCATTTCTTAGGGAATTTCCTAGCACATGCATTTCTGACTTGTCTCACGTAGGCTGTCTTGGGTTGAGACTGTGGTTGAGGGAGGGAAGAAGGAAAAATGAGAGCCGATAGTTACTCAAGAGTAAAGCAAGGCTGATGGATTAAATCAAAATGTATTTAACTTATGTGAAGAATTTGTGAGCTGGTATGTGGTGGCACACAACTGCAATCCTATTTGGGAGACTAAGGCAGGAGAATCACAAGTTTGAGACCAGCATGAACTGTACTAGTGAGATTTTAAGGGACCATAGCTCAGTGAGCAGAGTGCTTGCCTACCTTGTATGAAGCCCTGAGTTCAGTCTTCAGCACTATATTAACTACACGTGGAGGCAGGAGAATCTTAGACATTCAAGGTCATCCTTGGCTACAGAGTGAGTTTGAGGCCAGTCTGGGCTACGTAGTGAGTTGTAGCCTGACCAGGGCTACATTATAAGACCCTATCTCAGAAGAAATAGGCCAGGTGTGGTGGTTCAGGCTTTTAATCCTAGCACTTGGGAGGCAGAGGCAAGCAGATCTCTGAGATAGAGACCAGCTTGGTCTATATAGCAAGTTCTAGGCCAGTTGGGGCTACAGGGAGACTCTGTCTCAAAAAACAAAAAGCAGAATTAAAGTAAAATTAATTAATTAAATTAAAATGTATTCAGCTTATATCAGCAATGTTTATTAATGGGCCGTGAACCTGAAACCAGTTTAAAACTCAGAACTAGGGCTATTGATATAACGCAGTGGTAAAGCAAGTGCTTTGTATACGTGAGGCTCTGAATTTGATCTCAGGACCACGGGAAAGCAAATCTAAGAACTATGCTGGTACTTTCTCAGCTGTTGTGCAGGCTGTACTAAGGAGGCTGGGTCAGCTGAGGATACTGACCAGCACATATTAACTCTGCTAATAGTGTTGTCTGCTCTGTTTGTAGAGAACCTAGCCGGTAAGCCATCCCTACAAGTCCCCAGTTCTCGAGCTGCTGCTCCAAGGCCTCCAGTGTCTACAGCCAGTGGGCGTCCTCAAGACGATACAGACAGCAGCCGAGCCTCTCTCCCAGAACTACCCCGGATGCAGAGACCCTCTTTACCGGACCTCTCTCGGCCCAATACCACTAGCAGTACAGGCATGAAGCACAGCTCCTCTGCTCCTCCCCCACCACCTCCGGGCCGGCGTGCCAATGCACCCAGTACACCTCTGCCTATGCACAGCAGCAAAGCCCAGGCCTACAACAGAGAGAAACCTTTGCCACCAACGCCTGGACAAAGGCTCCACCCTGGTCGGGAAGGACCCCCTGCACCACCCCCTGTCAAACCACCTCCTTCCCCTGTGAATATCAGAACAGGACCAAGTGGCCATTCTCTGGCTCCTCCTCCACCTCCTTACCGCCAACCTCCTGGGGTCCCCAATGGACCCTCCAGCCCCACTAATGAGTCAGCTCCTGAGCTGCCACAGAGACACAATTCTTTGCATAGGAAGACACCAGGGCCTGTCAGAGGCCTTGCACCTCCTCCACCCACCTCAGCTTCCCCCTCTTTGTTGAGTAACAGGCCACCTCCCCCAGCCCGAGACCCTCCTAGTAGAGGAGCAGGTAAGTGCTTGGATACTTTTTTCCCTATCATGACTTTATCTTTTTATTCTTTTCCCCCAAAGTGTCTCTTCTGTGACTAGAAAGAATCAGAATTCATGTATTCATTCACCTGGTTCATTGGGTGCATTTTTATGTGTTGACTATTGTTAGGGAAAGGATAACTTGGTGTGAACAAACATTCTAGTAAATATATACACACATGGCATATAGTAAGTATACTTTAGGGAAACACAAAACCGGGGAAGAGGAAGCTATATTAGGGTTGGAGTGATAGTATTTTGAGTGGGAGAGGAAAGGTCTTGCCTACTTGGTAACAGTGTGACAAAGATTGGAAGAAAAGCCCAGTTATCTTGAGAGAACAGCTGTAGCAACCAGTGGGAACAACAAAGGTCCAAGTAGGGCTATTCATGACACATGGGAGGGGAGTTCCTAGTGACAGGACTAGAATGAGTGAGAGGAAGGTGGCAGGGGTGGAAGTGAGAGAACTGGAGCTCACTGAGAGGGTGTGTAGGAGTTATGAGGTACTCTGAGATAAGACACCACGGAGTGGGGGTGTGAACAGAGGAGTAATAGAAGCCGGTCTTAGTTACCTTATGTAAATCACTTTACCTAGTACTTGTAAAATTTCACAAGACCACTAGCCTTTGTGCTGAAACTAGACTGCAGGAGAATAAAGGTAGCCAAAGGAGACCACCACAAGTCTTTTGCAATAAATTGAGTAAAGTTGGGTAAGACTACAACAAATTTAGGGGACAATTGCTGTTAAATTTTGAACATGTTAAGTTTGAGATACCTATGAAATAGCTAAGGAGAGATGGTGAGTGATTGGCTATTAAAACTGAAATTTAAGCCAGGCGTGGTGGCGCACGCCTGTAGTCCCAGCATTCGGGAGGCAGAGGCAGGCGGATCTCTGAGTTCAGGGCCAGCCTGGTCTCCATAGTGAGTTCCAGGACAGCTGGGGCTACAGGGAGACCCTGTCTCAAAAAGACCAAAATAAATAAATAAATAAAGGAATGAATGAATGAATAAATAAATGTAATTTTAAACAGTTTTTTTGGGGGGATCTTATTTTGAGACAGGGTCTCCTTATAGCCCCAGCTGTCCTGGAACTCACTATGGAGACCAGACTGGCCTTGAACTCACAGGGCTCTGCCTGCCTCTGCCTCCCAAGTGCTGGAACTAAAGGCATGCGCCACCACAACCTGGCTAATTTTTTAAAGTTTTTTTTTTTTTAATTTTTACAACATGCTTGATGAAGTCACCTAGGGAGGTGGTATAGCTAGGAAGATGAAGAGAATCCATCAGAGGAAACAAATGAACAACCAAGGGAGTGATGGAAAGCTCCAAGGTCAAGGTCAAGCACTGTATCCAGTGCTACAGAAAGGTCAAGCAAGTCAGACACTGAGAAGTGACACTGGTCTGAGCATCAAGTGACCCTTCAGAGTAACATCTGTGGAAAAATAGGTGAAGGAAGAAGCAAAAATTCGGGTGGGTTCAAGAATGTAGGAATGGGTCTCAGCTATTTGGGAGGCTGAGGCAGAGGCTGACTTGAGCTCATAAGTTTGAGGCCAGCTTAGGTAACATAGTACGACCTTGTCTGATCAAAAGAAAAAAAAATTAAGAAAATAGTATAGAAACCTTGGTAAAGACCTGGTTGAGTTGTCTGTCTAAATAAAGAAAATGGTTGCTGGAGGAAGATGGGAGATTGGGTTTTTTTTCATGCCAAGATGAGTGACCAGTTTGTTGATGGAATAAGTAACATGAAACTGGGGCTGGAGAGATGGCTCAGGGGTTAAGAACACTGGCTAGTCTTTCAGAAGACCCGGGTTCGAATCCCAGCACCCACATGGCGGCTAACAACTGTCTGTAACTTCATTTCCAGGGGATCCAACAGCCTCTTCTGTCCTCCTCGGGCATTGCATGACACGGGTGCACTTACCTGCATGCAGGCAATACATGCATACACATAAAATAAAAATAAAGTATTAAAAAAAAAATAACATGAAGCCGGGTGTGGTGGCACACGCCTTTAATCCCAGCACTGGGGAGACAGAGGC